TGCTACATTTTATGGTGTAAACTAGGTACATATATATTCATCCCGATTTGTACCGAAACTGATACTGAACTATCGGGAACCATACTGAACCGATGCTTCGGGATCGAAATCGGTACAATGTAAAATCCCATATCGGACCGAAATATTTGGTACGGTATCGGTACAAGCTAAATACCGTATCACGCTCACCCCTAACAACGATATTGGACATTATTAGAGTGAAACTATAGAAGTCATAATTGACATTAATTAGTGATGGGGGGACATTCATGTCAACATTTTGTGATCGTCGGTCGGTGAATTGTTGTAATACGTGATGGGACAGTATATATAAAATCATATAAAGGACATTTTAGTACACTACAAGTAATAATTAATTATTAATTAATTAGATACGAGTTATGGAAATTAAAGCTTGTGGTGCTATATAAGGCAATTTACTATGTTTTAGTGCGATTTAAGTAAATTTCCCTTAAATTAAACTGACATTAAAATCATTTTTTACTATTAGTTTTATGCTCGTGTTAGTAATCATTGAAGGGGATTCTTCAAAATATAAAAGCACTAGTTATTTACCCTGTGCTTCGCACGGGCTCGTTTAATCTCACGTAAAATATCTCTATAAATTCAAAAAAAATAAAATGAGATGAAAATGAACATATAATTCATATATTCTAACTATACATTTTTCACTATATCTTAAGGTGTGTATCAGATTTACATTTTTCATATAAATGTTCACTTTTGACTTTTGAAACTGTTCATCTAAGCACTTTGACTCATCAAATTCTCTCAATGTGTAAGCCTAAAAATAGTCATTGATGGATACCCTGGACACGGGGTATCCGGTCTTTGTATAATATTGGTCGGGGCGGTCCTGTCTGTTGGACAAGCTCGTTTATCGTGTATTAATTACTTTTTAGAGGCGGCCCAGTCTGTTGGGCCGGCCCATTAGTTTGTATGTATGCTCAAACCCTAACCCTAACTCTCCCTATTTATACCCCCTCTTGTAGGAAGAGGCAGGGGAGGTGGAGGAAACAATGGAGGCTACACTATTCATCATCTCTTCATCTTGACACATTTTCTCCTTTTCCTCTACCCTTGGATTCCTTAATCCAACAATGGTGCTTTCATTGAGAGTGTCGAACACATCAAGCGTGCTCACAATTTTGTTTTTTGAAAAAAATGGCTTCGATTCTGTCATTTTTTTTATTTTCCGGCCGGGAGATTCATCCTCTTGGGGAATCGAATCCTCCCATTTTCACTATGAGGCTACACAAATTTGGATTTCTTTGAAAAAAAAAAAAGAAATCCATAAGGAAGAAGGTTGAAACCGGATCTGGGGAGGACACTCTCTCGCCCCTTTGCCTGTCCGGCTCATTGACGCCGGCGTACAGCGCCGCTCTCAACTTCAGAGTTCCAGACGGACGCTCCACCCTCGCTGCGGATAAGGTCCGCCACCTGCCACCTTCTCCTGCACTCAGTTCGGCTGTGGTCAGTTTCGTTCATTGTCTCGACACCGGTGAAGCTTCTCCGAATCGCCGGCTACACTATTTACACCCGTACAGATCTGAATTTGAAAAATAGGTCGGGTCCACTCGCAATTCATTGGAATTGAGCAGGCGTGTGGAACTTTATTGTAGGGAACAGTGGAAAGCAGAAGGGACCTGGTGGACTTGGATTTCGTGATTCTATTTGGGGTCTAAGATCTCTCAATTATGGATGGTGCAGTGAGCAAGAAAAAGATACGTATCTTTACCCTGTCACTATCATTTCAATTATCCATATTTATTATTTTTACCATATTATTAATATGGAAATTGTTATCATATTCCCTATTACTATTACCTTGTCCACCACATGTGATCGGACCTCACTTGGACGATGATATTACACTTTGTGCTCAACACTTTAAGCCCTGATGTGGAACAAGCGCAAAGCTTAATCTCACACCCCACACAGGCCAGCGACCTGCCTCAGGGCATGGCTCAGGTCCAACTCATTTAGTCATTCCTTAGTGAGGCCGGGTAAAACCTCTCTCTACGAGGTGTTGAAGATCGTCCGCGACGATAATATCGCGAGGCCGAGGTAAGCCGTCTATCTCGACGCACTCCTTTCTGTCTTCCACGACGAGATCTCATTCCCTCTTCCACGAGGCCGAGGTAAGACGTCCACCGCGACGCGCTCCTATCCGTCTTTCACGACGCGATCTTATTTCCTCTTCCACGAGGTCGAGGTAAGCCCTCTCCGCGAGGCACTCCAAATCGTCCGCGACGATACTATTCGCGAGGCTGAGGTAAGCCGTCTATCTCGACGCACTCCTATACATCCGTCTTCCACGACGTGAACTATTCGCTCTCGGATCTAAGGCGAGGGGTGCATCACTTGTGCCTATCTCACTTACCCGAGCAGCCCTCATTTGAAGACCCCGGTCTCACTAAGGATGACATCAAGGTTTGTTCTAGACCAGACTACTACACGATTGACACACTTCGCTGATAAGGCCTATCTTTTGTGACTTGACTCGTACATTGACTTACTTTTCTCGGTCGCATGGTGATCGGTTTATCTGAGCCCGCGAGCGCCTTGTGTTCTTTTTTGAACTTATTTTGCAGGTTTGAAGGATGAGAAGGCTAGGCTCAGCCTTAGGCACCGCGTGAGGCACTTGAGCTCGGCCTCGACCACCTCGTGGGGCACGCGAGCTCGGCCTCATCCATGCGAGCTCAGCCTCATCAACGCGAGCTCGGCCTCATCCACTCGAGCTCGCCCTCATCAACGCGAGCTCGCCCTCATCAACGTGAGCTCGGCCTCATCCACTCGAGCTCGGCCTCATCAACGCGAGCTCGGCCTCATCAAGCCGAGCTCGGCTTCATCCACTCGAGCTCAGCCTCATCCACTCGAGCTCAGCCTCATCAACTCGAGCTCGGCTTCATCCACTCGAGCTCGGCCTCATCAACTCGAGCTTGGCCTCGGCCATCTCATGAGGAAGCCAGAGACTCTCGCCGGTGCCGAGCATTGACACTACTCCCCTTCACCTCGAAATTCTTCTTCGGCTTAGGGAGTGGGGAACTCCGGGTGCTCGGCTTGTGATTGTTACATCTCACATCAGGAGAGCCCTCGACTCCGGACAACGAGTCCGGGGGACTTGAAGATCACCTCTTTTGAGATCCACACAGAAGATTTCACACCCTAGCAATGTTTTCTTGATCTACTCTGTGGGACGAGATGTACTCTTTTCTTGACTGAGGATTTTTTCCCATCCTCATGGGTTTTTTCCTCGGCAAGTTTTTAATGAGGCATCCCCCGTGGAGTGGGTCACACATTGACGGGATGGTGGAAGGATGACGACTTATTCATCCACCCTTATGGTGATTGTTGCACTTTGAACAGCGAACCAAAGATGTACTTTATACGAGAGCAAATCATTTCAAAACAATGAGCAGAGTATGTGTTTCTTTTTGCCATTCCGAACAGCGAATTGGCATTACGTTTCTGACCTGATGACGTTGCTTGCCTTACTTCACCGTGCTCGGGATAGCGAGTTGGCGGTGCACTCCAGACGCAAGGAAGACGGTGCCCTTCAGTGGTGGATTATTGTTTACTTCCACTTCGCCTCGAGTTCCTCTCGGCTCGGGAAGTGGGGGACTCATGATGGATACCCTGGACACGGGGTATCCGGTCTTTGTATAATATTGGTTGGGACGGTCCAGTCTGTTGGACAAGCCCGTTTATCGTGTATTAATTACTTTTTAGGGGCGGCCTTGGGTCGGCCCATTAGTTTGTATGTATGCTCAAACCCTAACCCTAACTCTCCCTATTTATACCCCTCTTCTAGGAAGAGGGAGGGGGAGGTGGAGGAAACAATGGAGGCTACACTATTCATCATCTTCTTCATCTTGACACATTTTCTCCTTTTCCTCTACCCTTGGATTCCTTAATCCAACAGTCCTGTGTGATCTTGTTTGATTCGTCTTAACATATAGATTATTTATATATACTACCTCCGTCCCATTGTCTTTGTCCAGTCTTGACTTTTGGAACTGTTCATCTAAGCACTTTGACTCATCAAATTCTCTCGATGTGTAAGCCAAAGCAGAAATGTTGAAATTCTCCTAGTAAAGCCAAAGCAGCGAATTGATTAGGAACAAATTATGCTGCAATGGAGAAATTAAGCTTCTTTATCTAAAGCAGAAATGTTGAAATTCTCGTTAACTTTAAATTAATAAGTCTTCTGCATCCTCTTGATGATGGTCTAATTAAGTAATTAAGTATTATGTGTGTGTGTGTGTGTGTCTATATATATATATATATATATATATATATATATATATATATATATATATATATATATATATATATATATATATATATATATATAGATCATGTGAGAATGCAATCTTATGAAAGAAATAAGAATGAATCTGGTGCTTTAGATTGTGAGATCTAAGGGTCAGGATTGCATCAAAATTAGATGTACCAAAATGATTTGAAAATGCATCATGTCGAAATGCACCAAAATCATTTAAAAATGCACTATCTCAAAGTCTGAGTGCAGGATGCAATCTGAGCCGCACGATGCATCAGATCCAAAGGCTAGATTTTATTCTTATTTCTTTCACTAAGGTGCATTCTCACCTGAACCACCCCATATATATATATGTGTGTGTGTGTGTGTGTGTGAGTGTGTGTGTGTGTCTATACACATGGTTCATATTTATAATACAAATCTTGTATAGAAAATAGTTAACAATATGCATGTTTTAAGTAACTAATATTATTTAAAAAAAAGATGAACAACAACATAGGACCTCATGCTTACCTGAAAAGAGGTAATTAAGTCTCTAATATCAAGTGATCAAAATGTCATATATCTAGGTAAAAAGTCTCCAATAAGTGCTATAAATTTAATGTGTACATCTATGTGATTTATAAATTTAATTAACCAGTAAAAATGCCTAAAATCTTATTGTAATTGGCAATGCTTTTTGTGTAGAAAAGAGATTTTATTGAATAAAATAGAGCACAGCCAATAGAGTATCTTTTTGTCTTCACTCTAATCTGCCTTTAAAGCTTTATTGTTTTCCTCCTCTTTGGTAACTTTAGTTTTAGTCACTCTTATCTGCCTTTAAATCTTTATTGTTTTCTTCCTCTTTGGTAGCTTTGGTTTTTTCGGACTTGCATTAAATATTCAAAAATTGGGAAATTATATAATGGATCAAAGTTCTCACATTCCTTGGCAAATAACTCAATCTCTTCAGCCACTGTACAACTGAATCCTCCTCTTTCAATCACTTCTCACATGGAATTGATGGTAAATACTTCAAAAAAATTCTAATCGTTCAAGGATATAGAGGTAAGGTGTGGAGACATCCTACCCTCCCTAACTCCCACTTGTGGGACTACTATTGCCTCTCAATCCCTCAAGGGTATAGAGGTAACGTTTGAAATAATACATATGAATGAAGATGGCAACTTTAAATTATTCACATTGGGGGCATTATTTTCTTATGCTTAGTAAGTAAATATATTATACATTTTGATTTATGACTCGGCAAGATTAGAAACTTTAACTAACCTTCAGCAAGCATTTAAGCACATTTAGCACCTTCAGTCATTTTAGAATAGAAAATTACCAATTAGCCATCTATGGTTAATTAGTAATTAACCATCTATTAGTAGTTGCTTAAATACATTTTGTGGTATCTGTAACACAAATTACACGGGGAAGATGACAGCATGAAGTGATCATGTATAAGAACTTGGATTACAAAGGAAGGGTGCATCTTTATGGAGGGTATACAAACATGAAAATATAGCTTTAAAGAACCATTATGTTACTTCTTGTTGACTGAACAACCAAGTGGAAATGCAATCGGTCGGGAAATTGTTATACAACCAAGCAATATAAATACTAACCTTTTCACCAACCTCTTCACCAGAGGCATAAACAACTGGTACAAATTGAATCATATTATGCCCGATCAAGTATAGCTGCAATCTTGCAGAAGGAGATTAAATGGGAAAAAAGTCAGCACAACAAAAAATAGACTAAGCTATACTCCTTCGAAAGTGCTCACTTTTTTGGGGTAAATATAAAATTATTAATGCTAACTTGAACCATCTATAGTGAGCAAAAACAATAAGTAGTGTGAGATGAGCACCCAACAAAATGGCAAACTTGAAGTTAACAGACCTGAAGTTAAAAAATGGCATTCTCACTGGCGGCTATTGTCAATATGGGAAAAGAAGCGACAACTAAAGCACTTACCTTCTCTATTTCCTCGAGTGCATCATTTAGATTTGCCTCATTTCCCACATTTGCTGCCTTCCAACTCTAATGTGTGGATGTCATCACCATTATAATTTTTAGGCCAATTAGTTTGTATGTTTCAAACTTCATATCACCACTACAAATGTATATCATAGAACACCAATTTAACAATTTGACCATTCCCTTCAAAGATCTTTAGAGTGCAGTGCTCTGTGTGTGATGCGTAGGGGAAATACCACCATATGTGAACTCTTTTACAAATAATAAAATCTTATAAGAATATCAATACAATAAACGTCAAGTGTGTGTGTGTGTGTGTGTGTGTGTGTGTGTGTGTGTATATATATATCAAGGGGCACATAATCCTATCATAGATTTGGATAATAATAATAATAATAGTAATAACAACAACTATAATAATAAGTGACGATGAATCAATTTTCTAGGCCTTTATATTCGAATAAAATATGATTAGTAGTTGTATATTTTACTTTAAGTGATGAACAATCACTTTTCTACTCTAAGCTATGAAAAATTAAAAGTACGAACAAAAGGTGAGAATATTCTTAACTCGTTATTTAAAAATTTAATGTTTGACTCAAAATAAGATTATCCACAAACGGGACATATAATTTTATAAAACTCTTATAAGAAAATCAAAACTTGAATAATGTGGTGTTTATAAGGTCTTAATAAAAATCTAAAAAATCAATGAAAGGGAAAATACTCATTTAGGCATTTTCTCAAACACTTTAAATGTTCTACTTTTAACTATAATAAATTCATGAAAAGAACTTCAAAATTTGCAAATCTGCAATTATGCAAGCAAAAGTTAAATGATAACATATTAAAATCATTTATTTACAATATGCATATTTTTTAAAACAATAATACTAAGTGAAAATGAAAATGAAAAAAGCTTATATATAGGTTTATGAATTAATGGGGTAAAAATAGAGCTTATGAAATGACAAACCCTAATCGATTAATTGGCAGCAACCGGACTTTTGAAGATGCAGAAAGGAACTGGGAAGGCGAGACGGCCGTGATGGGTTTCTGGATTTTGGTATGAATCGGTGTTCACGGCACGTGTGACTTGCAGAATGTGAAGTGGATCCAGATAAGATGGTTGAATATTGATTTGTCGATCGATGTGCGGAACGGCAAATAGAAGAAATATTTTGTGAGTCAGCAAATGTCTAAAAGTAAGCAGAAAACATCATACAAGGCGACCTACTTGGTGCGACAGTGGCGGCGATCGGACTGCTGCATCAGCGGCGGCTAGGAGGAAGGAAAGCCGGAGATGACGATTTAATGGCTTTTTACTCAGAACTGGTTTCTCAATGGATAAAGGCGAGCAGGTTCGTATGTAATTTGATGGCGATGATGGGGATTCGAGGAGATGCGCAGGGAGATAGGGCAGAGGAGCTGTAGTTGATAATCTTGTGAGAGAAGACCAGGCCTTTCTGTAATGTTTTAGCCACGGTAGATGCTAACTCAGCCATCCAAATCCACGTAGCATGCCACTTGTCTACCCACAGCCAATTAACCCTACTTTATATATACTCCCTCTGTCCGGTATTAAACTTCCCATGTGGACTTTTTCCCATTTTTTGAAGTGTTGACTTTAGAATGGAAATGTCCAAAACACCCTTCCCCCAATAATTGTCCGCACCCACTACCCCGCCCCTTGCTCCGTCAATCACACCGCTACCGCAGGCCAACAGTACCGTCGACCCCCCCCCACAATCTCGGCTGCCCCCACCATCATCCCAGCCTCTTAATCTTCCGAGACCGTACAGATTTAAAAGACAAACAAATAGGAGAAAAAAAGGAATATGAAGAGGAAGAAAGAAGATGAATTGATTTGGAGAAAAAAAGAGGGATGAGAAAGAATCGGGGGAGAAGAAGAAGAAAGAGGAACGGATCTGGAGGGAAAAAGGAGGACGAGAAAGAACAGAGGGGAGGAAGAGGAGAAGGAGGAGGAGGAGGAGAAGAAGGAACAGATCTGGGGGCGAGAAAGAACTGGGAGAGAAGAAGAAGAAGAAGAAGAAGAAGAAAAAGAGGCAAAATGAACAGATCTGGGAGAACAAATGTGGAGAGAAGAAAAGAAGAAGAAAAAGAGGAGGAAGGAGAGAAAGAGAGGAGAGAGGTGAGGAATTAAAGGGAGGAGAGAAAGGGAGAGGGCCGGGAGAGAGTGAATAGTGGTAAGTGGGGGTATTTTGGGTAGTTAGTGTATAAAAAAATGAAATGGGAAGATTATTTCCGGACGGAGAAAAAAGGAGAAATGAGAAGATTATTTCCGGACGGAGGGAATATATACTAGTTGTTGTTCCCGTGCTTCGCACGGGCTGGGGATGTATGTATGTGTTTGTTCCATGGAATTAAGAAGTATAATTGTTTGTCACACTATCTATACTCGTAATACTTTTCAAGACGTAAGTCTTAAGACGACAGCTAGGTTGAGGTGAAGAAACGAAGACAATTTTTCCGTGATGAATCAATCAAATACTATGGCATTTGAATATGTCTTAATTGGTTTAGTCGTAATAAAAAACAACCTAAGCTAAAGAGCAAAGTAAAATTAAAACCGTGTTTGAGGTGAATAAAGTTGATGTATTATTACAGAATGATGTTCCAACGAATTCGGGCATTAAAGAAACCACCGTTAAAGGTAACCAAGGTGGTTGCTATGATCAAATTTTTTTTAATTATACGGATTCAAGCATTACTTGCATAAATAAATATCCATGTCAAGAGGCGTTCATCTCCATTAGCAAAGTTTTTGATACCTGAATAGTGTTGCAGCAGATGTTTGGGAAATATAGAACAAAGAAATACAAAGCCATGCTAAAAAACATAAGGATGTGAGTAAGGGCGGTTTTTTATTTTGAGATATTTGTGTTGTCTTAAGTGGGTTTTTTAGTATAACAAAGAGTTTCTTCAAAAAATACAGCATTAAGAAAATTTAAGAAAGAGTGCATAAGAGATGAGATTAAGTTTCTTTGTCATTTGAATCATGAAGTAGTAAAATTCCCTTGTCTCTTGTTAGTTTAATCTTGTGAACCTGAAGAGTAAACAAACATCATAATAGATTGATCAGGCGATAAGGGTGAGGAAGCACAGACATTATAAGAGATGAACAGAAATATAAATAAAATAAGGGTTCATAACTTTTAAAAATAATGCCAAAGTACGATGTTAAAAGAATACCCACATTGTTCTAAATTGAGCATATAAATAAATGCAGATTTAAAGGGCAGTATTATTATTTATTGAATAACATGATGCATTAGGAAAAATTTTTCAAAATTGATCAGGAAGAGAAAAGGAAGCGATATGCATGGTGTTGTAATTTATTTTTTTTAAAAAAGATTCTGATTTCTTTGTTTTTTTGAATATGTTAAATGCATAAGTGTTTTTTTTGTATAACAAATACTTTCTTCCAAAAATACACCAGTATGAAAATTTAAGAAAGAGGGCATAATAGATGAGATTAAGTTACATTGTCATTTGAATGATGAAGTACTAACAAAGAGCAAAAGACATGTTTTTTTAAAATTGATTCAGAAAAATATTAGTAATCTTAAAGTGCAGCAGATATGCGACATATAGAAGGAAAAGTCTCACTTGCAGTAGACTGAAGTGCAGCAGATATGTGACATATAGAAGGAATTGCAGATGGATCCCTTGCACCGGGTTTTGGTGTCAAAATAGCAGCATTCCTTTCAGCACCAAGCACAGTTTCTGGTCCAGTATAGCCATTGCTTCGTAAACACTGCAAGAGTGCCCGGTCATGTATGACAATTGGGGAAATATGTTTTTTTGCATATATTAAGAGCGAATGTTTGGTCGGTATTTTGTTGAGGTAAGGAGGATAGTATAGTTTCGTAGAAAAAGTTTGAAGGGTTTCAAAACAGTGATTCTGTTAATAGATTGAAAGAATCGTAGTGAGATGTGTATATGTATTCACGTATGTATTATATCCAAAGTAATAGAATATATTGAAATAAATGGCGGCAGTAGATGTGTCCATGTATTTACGTTTGTATTAATAAATTTTTAAAAATGTTTTAGGCGGGCATAACTCGTATGTTACGTATTAGTCGATGGTATATAATGGGTTGTTGGCCTTGTACCTCATTAATGGATTTCCATACATGTATGCTTCATTTAGTGATGTTGTCGTTCTGCAGTGTGGGACTTGTATTGCCTTTTTCCTGTAGGAGAAGGAGCTTATCAGTCACCTTTTTTGTTTATTGTGTATGGTTGTTTTTTGAAAGTGAAATTTATGTAGTATACCTGGGTAATATTGTTGAAGACCTCCTTGTAAACTATATTGCGAGTGTGGTGTGTGTATAGGGGGTCTCTTTCTTTTATCATAAAGTGAAGTCCTTGGGGTTGGGTAACTCTTGATGCAGCTACGTAAAGTTGGCCATGGGTGAACACAGGATTGGGGAGGTAGATTCCCACATGATTCAAGGATTGACCTTGACTTTTATTTACTGTCATGCCATAGCATAAGCGCAGGGGATAATGTCTCTTTAGGACGAAAGGGTATTTTGCATCATTAGAGGTTATTATTATTCTTGGGGTGTCCACTAGAGTGCCAATGTTTTTTCCAGTTATTATTCTTGCATGTATTACATATTTACATGTTGACCCAAGTGATGGATTACCAATCGCGTCCCATTGCACAGTCCAAGGCCGGGGTTGATGTTGCGAAGCATTAAAAACAGGTGTAACACCTCGGCCCCCACCCTGGCCGTAAGTGTCCGCTCATAGGATTGTAGAATGGCCCCACAAACCAACACACGTCTTTCCCGCGCACTTTGTCCTCACTCGTGCGCGCCCAAGGAAACTTCCCAGGGGGTCACCCATCCTAAAATTTCTCTAAGTCAAACACACTTAACTTTGGAGTTTCTAGGTGATGAGCTCTCGAAAAGAAGATGCACCTTGTTGGTATGAGTAGTACTATCAATCCTTTTGAGCTCTTCCCATTCCCATCTTGATACGGGGTATTTCATTCACCCACTTAGGAACGTCATGATAATCGATTATCAACGGCAGACAATCGATTATCAGCCAGTTCTGAACCTAAGGCCATCATGTTGAACAAATTGTAATCAAACACATATGTATGCGTTGAATTTAACTTCCTTCTTCAATCAGTGCATTCATTTCATCATGTTCATCCTAGACGTATGTCCTAGGTTCGTCATCATGTGCATACCACTGTAGGGAGGTCAGGCTTTCGTGCGCCTACTACAGTGGGCCCGTCTAGGAACCTTCGGGATCCAACGGGTTTTCATCAAGTGGGCTTTGTGTACGTACATGGTAGTCAGGCTACGGCTACCACCCAGTTCTGCTAGTTCACTTGCGACGTTTTCATCGAGCCCGGCTCATTACCGGAGTGCAGGGGTGATCCTGTTAAGTGAGACTAAGCCAGGGGTATCATGCATCAGGTCATATCGTTATCGTGTGTGTTCCATGTCATGTCAACATTCAATGTGGTCGTCATCATCATGTATGTTCCACGTCACATCAACATTTAATGTAGTAGTATATCATATTGTTATGTGTAATAGTACCCCAACAGGTGCAAACTAAACAGTTAGTAAACATGTGGTTTTCCGTACGTTAAAGTGTAGGTATTAATATGTGTATAACCATATGGGTTATCACTTTATGTTCTTTTGTTAGATTCACTCCTTAGCTTTTGCTGAGCGTGTAGTTGTTTTTGCTACACGCAGGTAGGCATGACGGTACAGGTACTAACCCTGGAGGACAGTGATGATGGGAAGATGGGCGGCGCACGGACAAGTTTAATATATATTTTCATTTAATCAAATAATCATTTGGGCATGAACCCACCATATGTCGTTTTACTTATTCTGGACTTATTTATTTACTTTCGCATTTACTCTGCACTTTTTATTACACACGTTTTGGGGGTAACTCCTTGGCATTTATTTCACTAATTAAACCCAATCGTTTTCTTATTAAATAATCATTAATGTTTTGAAACGGACGGTTCTCGGACTGTCCATGTAATCCTACCGGTCCGACGGGTCGCGGGTGAACCGGGTCCACGGAAGGCGGGTGTTACACAATGAGTTCTTCCCGGAGTAGCAATCGCAGTTTCATACTCTACGTAGGAATTGGATTCTGAAAAGCGTTTGGAAGTTAACCGGACCATTATAATAAATATACTGTAGGATGAAATGTGAATAGGCATTTATATTTCGAAAGAGCTGAACAATGCTCCCTACCCGACCAATAAGATCATGTTCCTATTTATAACTTTTAACCAATCTGTTCCGACCATTTGCATGTATGTGCCTCTTGGTTTAATCTATGGGCTTGCAGGTTAGTTGAGCTAAAATGATATCAAACTGTAACCTGCTTGATAATGCGGTTTCTTTACCAAGACTGTAGTGGGTGTTAGTTTTGTAAGCCGTGTATCCTGGAAGAAACAAATCGTGAAACAATTAAAATATTGAGCTTCAATAGGGAATAGCATCTGTAGGAGAAGTTTAGGCAAGTAAATTGGGATTAACAGCATACATATCATTAGAAACGTTACCTTTTTATACTGTATATAAAAGTTATTCTTAACAGCCTGCAGATCATTATGCCTAATATAATTGGTCGTATCCTGCACATTAAAGTGGTTCACATTGGTTTTGTTGTATTGAACTTCTATTGTTATTAGTTAGTGTACAACTATACCTTGCTTTTTGAATATGTGTTAAAATACTCTACATCATCTCCCCTCCTCACCCTTTAAAAAGTCTCGTTTCGTGAACCTTTTATGTCTCCCAAACAGTGTCTGGTTTAAAAGTCAGCTTCCATCTTGAATTACAGTTTGTACAAAACCAAACAGCAGCGGGAGAGGGTCTTAGTAAATAACTCCAAACAGTTTTTTAAATAAGTGACCATGTATAAGTTCGCAACTCGTAAAGGCTTGTATGTTGATTGAGTGGACTAAAAATAAAAAAGATTTCCTTCATTTAAACATGAGTGTTTTTAAGACGGAGGAATTTCGCATTTCACAGCCAAATTAGTGCCAAGTTCGTATTAATCTCTTCTCTGAAACACTGAAGCAGCCAAATTAGGATTCTATTTTTTAATGACACGGTAACCTGAGCATGGGGAGTTAAAGCAGACTACGATGAACCTTAGCTTCCCGGCTGAATAAAGATGGTCAGTGGGCGTCCCTTGCGGGATACAAATTCAGAACAGAATGGATACTATGTTCACTGCCGGGGAAAACTTGCTACCTTTGTGGGCACAGTATTACATCAATCTTAAAGCATTAGGTGCAGGCTTTGTTTCATTACAATATGTTCCTAACCGAGATCACCAGGCATTTTTTATTATATATATGAGTTTTAAACATTATATGCCCAAAAAGTACTCCCTCTAAGAGGTATAAACCAAAGATTTTAATTGGAAACAAATCAGACGGAGTTTCACTTGCACTTGAGAAGATGCATGTTTATTAAATGCTAACATACAGAATCAATGCTGATTAGATAATGAACACAAACATTGTTCAAACTCTGAAATTTACCCCCAAGCATACAAATCTTCACCCACCCATTTGTATACGTAGTTTACCTTTTTATTCATGCATTCCGTAGTACTCTTATTAGGTTCTACTATGTAAAGACATGTGAGGTATAGCTAAGGAGAAGATTGAAAGAGTTCTAAATATTAAGACCGGAAATTTGCCTGTCAAGTGCCTAGAAAGGCAAATTAACCAATGGGAAAATCAAGGACAAAGACTGTGAGGATTTGGTAATGTATTTTGAAACATACATTAATTCTGAGTATAGCAGAGTACGTATTCCCATTACACGTAGGTTTTCAAGAGCTTCCTAAATCTAGTATAAGGGTAATTCAAGGTATATTGTCGATTTTGTTTAGGGGGGAACTAAAGAAGGTAAAAGCAATTAATAGTAATTGAGTTTTGGACAATCTCAGGAAGTGTTTTTTAGCTGGTGCTTTTCGTGTGTGAAGTGCAGACACACCAAATCCAAGAGGCAAGGTCCTTGTAATTATGTTGGCAGTTTCATTCAGAGGCAAGAATCCTCAGTTAACTTAGTATCCTGATTCCTGAGAAGGAAATCTCTATCAGCCTTTATTTGTCAAGCTATTGTTCAGATTTTACAAAGAGCTAATGGTACAAATATGATAGACAATACTCTGTATTTTGCTTTAACTTGCCAAGTTAACATGAATGGAGCATTTCTGTTTGTAATGGGATAGGGTATTTTATAGTTTTTGGCTCTGTGTGACCATGTGAATCATATTGTATGATGCACAAAGTACATTTGTCCAATGTTATTTTCCTTATTCACAGTTCATTTGTGTAATAGTCCTGATTGTTGGTTGTGTTCTTTTAACTGACATGGGAGTGTATAGGATTTGTTTTTAAATTACTTCTACATTGGACCATCAGTCTCTGATTTATAATAATATAGTAGCCACTATGATCATTGAAGCAGAAAGTATAATTAAAAACATGCTTATAATAATGAATGGCAGCATCAACTTCTTAAACCTCTTAACAAAAACTGAGAANGACTAAAACGAACAAACTCTTTAAGCTTAAAAAGTCTTTTTGGGTTAGTTACCCTTATTTGTACTTCTAAATACTGAAAAGTAATATAGCATCATATCATTGCAAGAAAAGTATTGCATCTTATTCTTCGTGTGAATCTTCATGGCCTCAAGCATTCTCCTCACTGGGAAAAACTAAATTGTATAATTAAGAAGGGTTTAAAGATGGTTGAATGTATAAAGTCATTGGTTTGAAGTGATCAAACCTTAAACGTCTTCTTTTACTTGGTCCATCATCATAGAGCGCCAGCTGCACCGTTGGAGCATTCATCTGTGTTTTTATATCATTGATTGACAGTGAATAAGAATATCAAAAAAACAATGGAAAGACATATTGTATAAACTGATTATAATAAAAACCTCTTCATTCCTTGGTTGTTCCAAAATTGATTCCGCCAAAACCTTATTCGCTGTGAAACTCTGTCTATATGCAGTCCTGTTGTATTCGGTAAGCTTGACACAGAAAACAAATCGTTGCCCGATAAGGTTTGCAATAATAGCAGGTACTTCGCCCACAGAATTTTCACTCTGCATTAGTTGTTGTGTACATTTTTAAAATGTTTTTCATATGGCCTATGAAGTGTAACACTTAAGTTGTATTTCCAAATCTTAATACCTCCTCCAGTTTCTCTTGCATATCATATATGCTAGGGGCAGATTGTCCTATCATCTTCTCAGCAACATCATCAAACACAATGAACTTCGTACAATCTGTGGCATCCTTGACTCCTAATTCAATTCGAAATCTGCGAATGCACACAATTTTTTTGGTTCATTTGTAAACAAATTGCTTTCATTACTACGCCATATGCATTATTGTGTTTTGAATTTGAAGTGAGACTGTGTGTATCACCTGATTGACAGTGTTAACATGTGCTAATTCTATCATGACAAGCGCATAAAATTTACCTTGGAATGGGATCATTCACTGTCTTATTGCACTTCTTGCACCAAAAACTTCGTCCGTACACCTTAATTATTCCCTTGCAGCCACATGAGTTGTAGTACCATCCATTATTGGTGTGGATGTCATATATTGTAGCAACACAAAATAGTAGAGTGCCTTGTACATGTGTAAGATTAATATTTTTTAAGTCAGAAACAAAATTAGTAGTTCATGAATGAAAAGAAATGAGACAGATTTAATGTCATCTTATTACATCTTTAAAATCTGTCTTTGTAATTTCTAAAGCCTCGCCAATGGTTTTCAATTTGCTTAAAACAGCATGTCGATCCAGCTCTTGTTGCTCGATGATAAGCGGTTGAATTATATGTCCCCTTGGCAAAGAACTGCAACGGTTATTCACACTTTGAAAGGTTATGGGATATCATTTGTAAAATTTGATGGTTGGAAAATATAAACCCTAAATACCTGCTCTTCTTTTTTAAGGCAAGAACCTCATCAATGTCAAGGTCTAAATAAATCTTTGTAGCTGAAGTTGATGACAAAACAGCATTGTCTACAATCAAGAAAATCAAATCAACTAAAGCAACCAAGTGCATAGCCGTCATATCTTTTTAATAAAAAACAAAAACCCATACTCATGTATCGCTTGACCAAGGTTGACGTGAAAACTCCAACAATGATTCCATTTTCAAGCAATGATTTTTGTCTCATGTAGTTATCAACACTCTCACCCCATAGTGTAAGCCGCATTTTATCATCTCTAAAATTCAAAATCCAATTTAATAGCTAACCGTTGCAGTTTTTTTAATTCGGTAAATAGATCAATTATTAGCTTTAAAATCACATATTCTTAGAATATGAAAACTATTAACCTTAGATCATGTAATTCAAGCATCAAGGAAGGAACGCTGTTTCCATGACTATTCTTATTTATAACCTCTCCCTCGCAACATACTTGGCCCACCACATCTGTAATATGTACCACACATTAGAAGTGTAATCTCGTGCTAAAATCACCATTCATAGAAGATGTAAAAGACCCGATCTCACCAGTTAAAATGTATGTTTCCCCCATTCTAGACTCAACCTTATCAAAATCAAGTAAATCAAACCGATGATTCGGTATTGCTGATGTTGGTATTCCTAGGGAGTCCTCTGAAAGAGATCTAACGACTGTAGTTGCATAAAGTTGAATCATGAAGCAACCAAGTGCATAGCCGTCATATCTTTTTAATAAAAAACAAAAACACATACTCATGTATCGCTTGACCAAGGTTGACGTGAAAACTCCAACAATGATTCCATTTTCAAGCAATGATTTTTGTCTCATGTAGTTATCAACACTCTCACCCCATAGTGTAAGCCGCATTTTTTCATCTCTGAAATTCAAAATCCAATTTAATAGCTAACCATTGTAGTTTTTTTAATTTGGTAAATAGATCAAATATTAGCTTTAAAACCACATATTCTTAGAATATGAAAACTATTAACCTTAGATCATGTAATTCAAGCATCAAGGAAGGAACACTGTTTCCACGACTATTCTTATTTATAACCTCTCCCTCGCAACATACTTGGCCCACCACATCTGTAATATGTACCACACATTAGAAGTGTAATCTAGTACTAAAATCACCACTCATAGAAGATGTAAAAGACCTGATCGATCTCACCAGTTATTGCTGATGTTGGTATTCCCAGGGAGTCCTCTGAAAGAGTTCTAACAACTGTGGTTGCATAAAGTTGAATCATGAGCTTGTTGTCTCCAACAACACGATACTAGGCCTTATTGGGAACAACATTGAAATTCTTAATATAGTAAATACTTCCTTCAGCAATACGGTTTTTGAACAAATGCGAAAAATTCTCCTTAATGGAGGCATGGATATATGAGCCCTAAAACATATAAGATGCGATTTAATACACACAACAGTAATAAGAAATTAAATTAACAAAACGCAAACACACTAACGGTTAACATTGTGAATACAGCAAAAAGAAATTAAATTAGTGAAACACGCACACACTGACATTTTACATTGTGAATAACCTGTTTATCAATGAGCACCATATCTGTACTCAGTAGGTCTTTTTCATCATGAAATCTGTAAGAATCCCATAGGCGCGACACCCGTGCTGTAATCACACATTTCTTGGATTCCAACGTCAATATATCAATAGGGATGCATTCTTCTACCATCTTTAGCAGTGAAGATACCATGGCTCTAAAAATTATAAAAAACACAACAAACACCGGTACGTCCATTTCAATTGTTCAATAAGACGTATATATATACACACACATCCAAACACAGAGAAGGTGAATCATTTGGAATAAAGTAGAGGTAATAAACACACCTAGGGTTACATAGAAACAACATTAACTCCCGATACCACGCCGCCTCCGACGTCTCGCCTGCAAAAACGGATGGAATTGAAGTGCAACTGAGCAGTTCTGGAAGAAGAAACATGTCGATGAAGTCGCGAGAAGCCTGGGCCGAGGGAGAGGAGTTACAGATCTATTAACCTTCCGGTTACGTGGCAGCTAAGTGAGCAAAATTTAATCCATCTCAGCATCCTAGTCAGTGTACACGTGTCAGCTCCACAACTAATAAACCCTACTTTATACATATATATATACATATACATATATATATACATATACATATATATATATATATATGATGTTTCAAAATAAAAGAAGTAATTTTTTTTAAAGTTTCATTATTAAAAGTTTAATTCTCCATTAGTTGCGAAATATTTTTGTAAGTATAATTGTTAAAGAGTATTCCACATCGGAAAAGTGTGAGGAAATTAATCGGTATATAAGCTCTTGAGTTGAACTAACTAATCGATTGGATTCAATCTTTTAATGTGGTTCAACCTAGTTGTCTTATTACCCAATATATCTAGTTGTTCATACCCATCCCAAATTTTATCATGGTATCAGAGAAGGTTTTGGCCCACCTCGTTTGTCAAGGTGTCTGTCTAGACGTTCATTCCTAGCGGCCCGTTTGTCTTTAGCCCAGTTGTCCGTATGTAGTATGTACCAAACGGCCTGTGGCCCGTTTAACAAGATTGCTTTTCATTTGCAAGTGGTCAACCGGTTAGATTCAAAATAGCCCGGTTGTCTACTTGAGGGGGAGTGTTAAAGAGTATCCTACATCGGAAAAGTGTGAGGAAATTAATCGGTATATAAGTTCTTGAGTTGAACTAACTAATCAATTGGATTCAATCCCTTTAATGTGGTTCTACCCAATTATCTTATTACCCAATCTAGTTGTCCATACCCATTCCAAATTTTATCAATAATGTCTTCTTCAATCCATGAATAAACATAAAGTCAATGAGTGATAAGCTTTTTTTTCCTATTTCGTAGACTGTAATTTAAAATATCTTATGTCTATTTAATTTGTACAAAGTATAATATTAGAAAATTCTAATAATGTAAAAATGATAAAGTTTAATTTGAACTACAAAGAAATTAATGTTTAAGATAATTAATTTTAAACGTGTTCCTAACTTACCAAAATAGGAATAAAACATGGAGAAAATACCAAAATAGGATCAGACTTCTATATTTTTTATCCTCAAAACAAGAATCACTCTTATTTTGGGGATAAGAGTTTTATTTTACTGCTATTTGATGTGATATATTTCCCTTGTATGAGAATCTTTTGAAAGTAAATATATCATATTTGACTTTATCTAAAATTTTCATAATAGAATTAATTCATTATTCCATAGCACGACATTATATTTATTTTTTTCCCATTAATATTAATATCTCATATAATACCATATGAATCTTTCATTAATTCTATTATGTAATATAATTTATTTGATCATATCATCAAAGATAAATAATCATTTTCTTCCATTTATAAAAAAATAAATAATCAATGGGTTGTTTACAAATTTGTTGACATACACAAATTGACCAAACATTACAGCCCAAGTTCACATGTCAAAATTTATTCACTTTGCATACTTTTTTTGCTTGTTCAATAAAAAAATATAATCATGTCACTTTAGTTTTGTTGATCAAATTTTAAATATATATACTTTTTATTTTTTAATTTCACATTAATTATCATAGTCTATCCGTCCCTAAAAGATTACCATAATTTGACTTTTTTGGTCAAATTGTTACATCCTTTGACTGTGAATTATAGAAAATATATATCAAGTTTTATTTAAATTTATTAAAATTGGGGGTTTTAAATATAGTTTTAAAATATAAATTGTGGTAATATTTAATTATTTTAAAGGAAAAGGAGCAATGCCACACGTAAATATTCCATTCTCTTAAAAAAAGTTTAATTCTTTTAATTTTTCATACAGGTGCCACTTAAACAATGTTACGTGTCATGTTCTTAGAGCTTACCATGCGTCAAAAATAACAAATTAAGTTTCTCATTTTTTTATATTGGTTATGCTAATATCTAGTTAATCTAAACATATTTTGTTTGTATGAGATTAATTTTAAAAATAAATGTATCATTGTTAAAATTTTACTTAGTAGTACCTTTTTAAATCTGCACTAAGTATAAATTTTCTAATCGCAATGACATTGTAAATTAACTAATTAGAGCACAGGAAATACTCGTGAAGCCCCAGGGTTTCAAACCGGGGCTTCAAAATTTCTCTGTCTGCCACATCAGCTTAAACTTACCTCACAGATTCAGTGAAAATGGGTTTGAAGCCCCGGGACTTCAAACAGGGACTTCAAACTTTCATTTTTTACATTTTTAAATATACATCTTCTAAATTTAAATTATTAAATTTTAATTAATTTATTATTTAAACTAATCAAAAGGAGACTAGTGCATTAAAAAAAATTACATTCATTAAAAAAATATTACATTCATAAAAGAATACATTCATAAAAAGGTTACATTCATTAAAAAAATATTACATTCAGAAAAAAACAACACTACAAAGAAATTACTAATTATTCGAGCGACTAGATCTGGCAAAAAATAACCCGACCTGTTTTTGACCCGAGACCCGACCCGAAAATACTGGGTTTTGAATAAAGGTTTTGCTGACCGAACCCGAAGTTGACCGAACTCGAAATGACCCGCTAAAAATGGGTCAAACCCAACCGAACCCGAACCCGACTTGACCGACCCGCTAATCTAAGATTTTTTCAGAATCGTACATTTTAATATGAAATATATTATTATAGAAATAAGATTATAATTTTATATCTTTGCTTACTACTCATTTTTTGTATATAGGTTTATATCATCATAACAAATTTTAATGTTGTCGCATAATTATCGTACATTTTTTCAAAATTTCTACATTTATAATTTTTTTTATTCGTAATATTAACACTAAGTAATAAAGTTACTTAAAATTTCAAAAAAATAAATGAAACTCATAACCCGTTGGGTCAACCCAAACCCGAAGACACTGGTCATGAACATGTAGTTATCAACCCGAACCCGAACATATCCAAACCCGAAGTAACCCGAACCCAAGGTGACCGAACCCGAACCCGACCTGACCGACCGATTTGCCAGGTCTACGAGCGACTAAAAATATCTTCATTCAAATCCGAATTGTAGTAACATATTGCAAACTGAAATAATTCATTAAATAAAAAATATAGTCAATAAAAAAAGTATGTTAAATTTAATAAAAAACAAAAAAAATTACATTACTAAAAAAAATTTAAACAAAAAAAATATTACATTAAACAATAAAATATAGAGTAAAAAAATTTAAGTTTGTGTATATTTCTTTTAAAGAGAGAGTGAGGGAGGCTTTGAAACCCGTTAAAGGTTTGAAGTAGAAGAAATGAAGCCCGTATGAAGCCCCAAGGAGGCGGTGTTTGCTCCCCCTTTGGCGTTAAAAGGGGTAATAACGCCCCAGGCGTTACACCCATTACCGATGTGCTCTCATCTATTTTTGCTTAACATATTCTTCTTTTATGAATATCTTTGTCAAACTCAATAGTAATTTTTATTTAAAAATAATGTGATGAAATCATTTATAATACTCCCTCCGTCCGGAAATATTCTTCCCATTTTCCTTTTTGGTCCGTCCGGAAATAATCTTCTCATTTCCTTTTTTAGTATGCTTTTTAAGGCTAAATATCAATAATACCCTTCTATTTTATCACAAATCTACTTTTTTAATACTTTTTTAATAATAAAATGAGATTTAAAAGTTTATAGTATGTGCATTTTTGAAAATTTTGCATTTTTTTACTATTTCTTAATAAGCGTGCCAAGTCAACACGGGAAGAACATTTCCAGACGGAGGGAGTATAAAATTTGAGAGTTGATTGTTTAGAATAATGACATGTGGCAATTAAGGCTCCTAATTTGATTATCCTTCAGTTGACACACGTCCAATGAAAGCTGAACCCAGTACCTATTCTTTTCTCATCTTCGCTATCGCAGAAGGAAAGAAAACCTGCAAGGAAACTATTCAACACGGATCGCTGCTATTGGAAGGAAATTGTCCAAAAATACATCCCTTTTGATCGCTGGAAACTCCCGTAGAATCTCCACGGATCTTATTTGATTGAGGTCCAAAATTGAGATGCTTCATCTCTTCTTCACCGAAAGTGGTAACTATTCACGCTAAAGGTAAGTAGTCTCTGAGTTCTCAGTCGATGCTCCTCCATGTCGAAACTGAATCTGATTTACAGTGTAATTCCTGGAGAAGGTGATTTTCTTCATTGGATGATTTCCAGTGTATGTTAGCGTATATTGTTTATGTATATTATTATATTGGGCTTGAAGTACTTTCGTCTAAAACACAAGATTTGAGTCATCTCCGGGTGTTTAGGTGTCTCTGTTTTGTCCGTCAAACACCTAAACCTCTAAACAAATTTTCTCCCCGTAGCGTGAAGTGCATGTTTATTGGGTATCCTTATGGAACAAAAGGGTGGCGGGTGTATAACTTGGATACTCACCAGTTTTTTCACGCTAGGGATGTCGTGTTTGACGAATCACAATTCCCGTTCTCTGTTCCAAACACCACCAGTTCCGTCCAACCTGTCTTAAACCCTGCCGACGTCGACTTTCCCGTCGTCTCTCCGCCGGCAGCCTCCCTCGGCGACACTACCACCAAGCAGCCCAACCCGCCACCGTCCTCAACCCCATCTCCCGTCCCAGTCCCGTCAACCGAACAGCCCCCACTTCCCATCACTGTCTAGTCGACGGGCGAGTCTACCTCGTCCGTCCCGTCTCCGTCTCCTTTACCTCCTCGCACACGTCGCCTCCCCGCCCTCCTCAATAATTATGTCCTCCCATTCTGTGTCTACCATCACTCCGTCTCCCTCTCCACCTAGCTCCGTCTCGTCTGGTACACGGTTCCCGATTACTAACTATGTTCATTATGATAAGTTGCATAACAGGTACAAGGGCTTTCTTGGTGCTATTGATGCTTCTCTGGTTCCCACATCATATAGGGAAGCCGTCCGATATGCTTCTTGGAGGGAAGCTATGGCACAGGAATTTAATGCATTGGAGCGCAACCATACTTGGGAGATTACTGTTCTACCTTTTAATCGGTGGGCCCTTGGTTGTCAGTGGGTGTATCGCACTAAATATCGGTCTGACGGCACCAAGGAGTGGGATAAAGCCCATCTGGTTGTCTTGGGAAACCACCAGGAGGTGGGGGTCGACTTCACTGATCCTTTTGCCCCCGTAGCCAAGTTGGCTACAGTTCGGGTGTTGATGTCTGTCGTAGTTGCACGAGGATGGCAGGTTGACCAGTTGGATGTCAACAATGCCTTTTTACACGGGGATCTTCAGGATGAGATATATATGAAGCTCCCACCTGGATACTCTCATTTGTTTCCTGGGAAGGTTTGCCGTTTGCGAAAGTCTTTATACGGGCTCCATCAGTCTCCCCGTAATTGGTTTGCCAAGCTTCGTATGGCTCTGCGTTGCTATGGCTTTCGCCAAGCCCATGCGGATCATACTCTTTTTGTTCTCTGTCGCGGTCCTTATATACTTGTTGTTCTTGTTTATGTGGATGATATTCTTGTTGCAGGCAATAATCCTTCCTTGTGCACTTCCTTTAAAAAGTACTTGGATGCATGTTTTCAGCTCAAAGATCTTGGTCCGGTCTCTTATTTTCTGGGTATCGAGTGTGCTCGATCCTCCACTGGTATGGTTCTTAATCAGCGCAAATACATATTGGACTTTCTTCAGGAGCACAATCTCTCTGGATGCAAGCCTGCGACACCCCACTGCCCAGCAACCACAATCTCGCCCGCTCTACTAGTGTTGAGCTTCGAGATGCCGCCAAGTACCGTCGTCTTGTTGGCCGTTTGTTGTACTTGACTATTACTCGGCGAGATATCTGTTATGCTGTTCATGCTTTGTCACAGTTTATGCAGGCTCCACGTCAGGCTCCACGTCTCGACCATTGGACCGCAGCTCTTCGCGTTCTCCGGTATCTTAAAGGGCACCCAGGACAGGGTATCCTCCTCCGGCGTGATAGTGACCTGACCTTGACAGCTTATTTTGATTCAGATTTGGGCGAGTTGTCCGATCACCCGTCGCTCTGTCACTGGTTATTTTGTCCTTCTTAGTGGGTCCCTTATTTCTTGGCGTACTAAGAAGCAAACCACCATTTCACGTTCTTCCGCAGAGGCGGAATACCGCGCCATGGCTAACGCCTGCGCCGAAATCCGGTGGCTCCGTGGTCTCTTAGCTGTTTTACAGGTTCCTTGTGTTGCTACCCCGCGCTTGTATTGTGATAACAAGTCCGCTCTCTTCATTGCGGCTGATCCGGTGTTTCATTAGCGATCAAAACATATTGATATCGATTGTCATATAGTTCGGGATGCCTCCACCGTGCTCATATTGTCACAGCCTATGTTCCTACACGATTGCAGACAGCTGATATCTTCACGAAGGCGCTCCCCAGTCCTCTTTTCCGTTCTCTTTTGTCCAAGTTGGGCATTTTTGATCTCTATGCTCCAACTTGAGGGGGAGTGTTAGCGTATATTGTGTATATATATTAGTTTATGTATATTATTTTGTAATATTGTGGGCATATCATGTTGGGCTTGTAACTTGTATTTATATCCTACGGTATCAATGAAACAATCAAGTCATTCAGTTCACTAAATTCTATAGTGTAATTTTTAATTTTGAAAATTTTTCCTCATATTTAATTCGAGTTAAGTGCACCGTTTACCCCCAAATTCTTTGAAAATTGCATGGTTTACCCCCGAACATTAAAAAGTGCACTAAATACCCCTGAATTCTTCGGAAATTGCACGGTTTACCCCTGAACAATAAAAATTGCACCAAATACCCCTGAACTCTTCGAAAATTGTACCGTTTACTCTTGAACATTTAAATAAAGACGACAATTTTAGGTAACGGTACTTTGGAAAATTCACAAGGGTCAGATGAATCATATTCACAATTCTTGTGCGTGGAAGCAACGCACTCTCTATCTAATAGTTTAGGACCAATGATGCAACATTTTAATTTGTTCAAGGGTATTTGGTGCATTTTTTAGTGTGCAGGGATAAATCGTGCAATTTTCGAAGAGTTTGAGGGTAATCGGTGCACTTTTTAAAGTTCAGGGGTAAAACATGCAATTTCTAAAGAGTACCTGGGTAAACGGTGCACTTAACTCTATTTAATTCGTATTCTTCTAGATTTTACAGTTCATATTGATTTTATAGCAAAACCATTAATTTTAGCCTTATATGGCACGATCATGGCATTAGTTTGTTTGTTTGATCTTGGATCTACTATTTGGTATGTTTTCTAAAACAATATTAGTGTTAAAAATTAATGTTGGAGCTCATATTTGTCGTTGCTTGGATGGCCGGTGAGCGACAGAGCTGCCAACCAGGAACCAATTCTGGCCTGTCTTTTGTGGAGCAGCGTGGAAGGGAGTACTCGCGAGAAGGGAACTTCAAGAGGCGGTGGAACATCATACTCAAGGTAAGCTCGGTGTCATAACATCGAATCTCCTGACCTAAAAAATCCCTATATTTTCTTCAGCTACTCCAAATATATTTACGGAGTATTTTTTGACTCGAATTATATTCCAATTACTCATATTTATGAAAATTGTTGATGTTTCAGGTAATTGCCATTCGAGTCTGGAGAGGAAAATTGGATCTCAATTAGTTCGGACATGGTACAATCGGTTGATTTTCTAAGAATTTTGGAGTAATTTTGTTCATTCCCTTTAACCTCTCTTACACTTTGTCTCTGTAAAGTGTTGGATGTAGGAGTGTTTATTATATTAATAGTGATGTTCAGAGTCTAGGCATGGCACCCATCATTCAAGGGTTCAATTAGCAAAAAAAAGAGGGTCTAAAATCTCATGTGTAAGGCAGGTAGTTGCTGTATGATCAAGGTTCCGACTCTTGCAAATGTGGGATGCTTCTGACATGGTGTTGATTGACGAGGAGGTAGTAGTATGTTTTATTTGGGCTACTGCTTTGAAGTCCGACCAGTTCTCTGCAGAGGTGAAGTCTTGGACACCACCCCGTCGCACCTGAACCTCCTCGCACTTAGGTAAATTTAAAATTTTTTACTCCTCTTTTTTTGTATATAAATTACACAAACATTATAGTTGGAATTTCTTATCAATTCTATGAATTATCAAATGAAGTTTATTATAGGGAAAAAAATGAGATTGAATGTCAGAACAAAAGTAAATAATGTCAAAGCAAAGAAAGCATAAATATCTACTGACAAAAATGAATCCAAACCATAAAAAAGATACTTCCCTTCTATATGCCTGAAATCAATCTTCCACAGTTGAGATAAATTGATTTTTTGTTCTTCTTCCAGGCTTTTCAGATGTGTTTCATGTATGGTGGTGAGCCATACTTCTCGAATCTTATTTATATTCTAGGTCATGTAGATTTTTCATATGAAGTATTTTGCTTTCTCTTCCCTTTAAGTTGGTAGTTTACAATGGTATTTACTTTCAAATTGCTTTGTGACAGCAATTGTTTTGTGATGTAAGGTATTTTGCTTTCTTTTCCTTTGGCCTCCTTTATGGCAGATTTGTTAATTGGGTCATCACTTTTCATTATGTGTCATTTACTTCTCATCACATATAGCATATATATGAAATACCTGGTGTAGTAAGGACTGTTATTGGGTCTTGGGTTTGATCAAACTAATGGTAAGGACTTTTAATTTGTGATAATGGCTTTTAGATTTTAAATTTAGTAGAATATTTGATAGGGAGAAGAAGATGTTGTTATTTTGTCTTTTCAAACACATGCAATAGACTATTGTGGCTTTGACATCTTAATCCAGTAGCCTAATCTGTTTTGCTAATGCATCCCCTTTGGATATGTTGTTAATTTTGATCAGACTCTTAGCCGTATGAAGTTCATCAATCAACAAGATAGAAGCAAATAACAATAAATCCAGCAAAATCCCACTAGAACAACAAGATCCCACCCTTCATCATAATTCAGTGGGTGGCTACATGAACAGAAGTAACACTCACACACACATTCACAACTTGTCGTGTTTCCTATTTTGAGAAAAGGTGCATTTAATAAGCGTACTCACGCACCTCATCTTTCTCCCTTACCCGTTTTTCTCATCCACCATTTCCTTCTCCCAAGTCTCACATCATGTTTCTTTTCTCTCATTGACATAGTACTTCGTAAAATGGCACGGATTTTTTAGGCACTGATTTTTTTGAGTAAGGATAAAACTTTACAGCATAACTATATATTTATGATAATCAAATCATTTCTCTAGCCGTTTCACCTTACTTTCATGCCACTTGCTTAATTCCTCTCTTATGTATATTTCTCTCTCATGTATATTTCTATATGGACAGAAATCAAACATGGAGATGCCTAAGTTCTTTCAGGAAACTTAGTATCCCTAATAAACTTGAAGTTGACAGGTTACGTTTATAGGTATTTCCCAAATTTGTTCTTATCATTAGTGCTTTGCTACTTGCGAATCCAACAGATCTAGAAGCCTGATTCATATTGTCTGTTTGTGCCACCCCTTTAAGTTCCTGAACTCTACCTGTTCTTCTTTGGCATGAAAAGCTAGAATTTACAACTCAATAACGGTGTTGTATTTGATTTCAAGTTGACATGGGAGGTTTTGTGCTAGAGTTGTTGATTATGATGCAAGCAGCATATTTAATGATGTTTTAACAAAATAGTTTGTTGCTTGGACATAGTTTGTTGCTTGGACTGATTGCCGAATATGCAAGCAACATATCTCAGGATGTATGTAAGTAGCATACTTCACGATCTTTAAATTTGTTGATTGCTTTTCGTTTAAGTTTATTAATTGATTTCAGAATGGTTCCCTAACTTCTCTTTGATTTTCAGAAGCTGTTCCATAGCCATGCTTGGCAAGACATCCTGAGCCATTTACGGTCTGTGTTAGTCTTCAAATTCCCTTACTTTCCTTTGATTTTCAGAAGCTGTTCTGTAGCCATGTCTGAATAAGGTTTTTGACGTTATTTCACATCCTCACTAAGGTATGTCGATCTGTTATATATATAAAAGGAGTTCTTTAGTAAGTGTTTTATTTGCTTAGGTATTTTCCCCAAATTTCTCTCTATATAATAAAACATAAAACTTACTCTCAATTTTTTTTGTGTTTATTAGTATTTTAAATTTCTGAGTTTTCAATTCTGAAAAAAGAAAGAGGGCCAATTGCAAAACAAAAAAGTATGTTTTATACCATGATGTATATTTTATAGAATGAAGTTAGACCCCACTTCATTCACTCTATAAACATTAATCATCGTCAACTATAACCCAAAAAGCACCGTGTGCTTTTCTCTTATCTAAACTTGCTATGTTTTTTTCTACCATATAATTTAGTAGTTTTTTGTGTTTCATATAAATGGATAAAAAAGTTTAGGGTACATTAGATTACATTTCAAGTATGACCAGCCCTGATCTTTGTTCTTATGTGTTCTTATGTGTTCTTTGTTTGTTATTTTGTTTTTGGGAGTAAGTGGAGAGTGGTAGTAGGATGAACAAAATAATTGTATGCTAAATTGCTAAGCATGAAAAGATAAGAAAGGTTTTTATTTCTACTTGGTTTTAGTTGAAAAGTATACACAATAATTGTAATTGGGACATCCATTTCCTATGATCTATATATATCTAATGAACAATGAAAATAAAAAATTATCATAATTTGGACACTTCAAGTATTACTCACTTGGACACAAGTATAAAGCTTCTTGAATGCTAAGTACGATTTTCTACTCAAAAGATCCTACATTTTGTTCAGATAGATTTTTTTCTAAAGATACCAAAGTATCACAAACTGGGTACTTCATTTATTATGATCTATTTGATGAAAAAATCAAGAATTAATTTATTAAAAGAGTGTTTACCTGATAATTACCATCCTCGAACCTTAGACTCTATTAGCAGCCTCTAGGAAAAATCAGAGCTCAAGGAAAAATCAGAGCTCAATGTGTCAAACTACTCAATAACAATAACGTACCATTAATACCAACTTTCTTATAGTCTTAGGGGTTAATATGCATGTAGTCTTACCCATGTTAGAACAACATGGTTATTTTCATTAGACCCTAGACAAATTATTGCATTTACTACCCTATACGTCACAGTAACTAACAAACAAGGGAAATTTAATTTTCCATTTGGTTTCAGTACATAATGTGTAGATCTAAACCCTAAAGCGTTGAGTGTTTGTCGATGATGGGGTACAAACATGTAGTACATCAGTGGGCAGTGAATAGGATAGAGGTATCTTCCTAATTTTAGTTATTTAGTGTTACCTACATCACTTAAGATTATTTGTTAAAGATTTAGTATGCCATGTTTAGGTAATTTATATGGCTGCTTGCAAAAAGCTCTATGATATGCAAGCCATGATTGATATGCTCCTGCCATACAAAGGGAGTGGAACAAAATCAGATAAAGGTAAGGACAATGGTGAAGGAGATTCCCATCCGGGGACAACAAGGGATATGGAATTTTATCTTGATGGTGTTTCTCACATATTTCAAGATAGTTACACTTAATCCTATTATCTAATACAATTACATATCAATGTCGTTATATAATATTAAGAACATGTGTGCGTGTTTGTATAGACACCCGAGTGTTTGATGCCTCTAACTTCAGTGTTACTCATATTAATCTGTCTTCATTGCATTCTTGAATCTGTAAGTCATTTCTTTCATATCAGTTTTGAGTAATAAAAATATCAAATTTGTTCACCATCCACTTGCACTTTTGCACACACTTAGTAACTAATTATCCATACGTTATATGTTTACAAACAATATTATAAGTCCATCATACGCTTTGAATTTTTAAACTCATGAAGTTATTGAAATGATAAATGAAATTGTTTTGTCTCTTATTCCTGACGATGAAAGAAAACATTTGAATTTTGATTATTCATGTCAAGTAGATTTAGATGTAGGCATCGATAGTTATTAGTTATTGACTAAGTTTTTGAATGATATCAAGTGTTTGCGAATTCCAAACTACAAAATAGTTTTGAATACCAATCATGTTATTGAGGAAAAAAGAGTTTTGATCCACATGGAATGTGTAACGCTACAAAGGTTATTTGTTGAATAGTTGCAAAAAAAATCATCCGCGCAATTATAGAATAATGAAACAGTGTCGGAGAGATAACTTATATATCGTGAATGAATTTAGTATTGTCTGATCCAGGATTACTCTTGAGGTTTCAAAGAAGACAATTTCTTATATTTTTATATTTTGCTGTGAAGATCAATAATAGTGAAGGCCAAACTTTTTCATTGGTTGGATTATTTTCACTCGCGGTTAACTTTATTTGTAGTTTCACGACTGAAAATAATGATAGATGACTTCACTAAACATGTAAATACACTTATGTTTTCCAAAATATTTGGATTTAGATTATACTTTTATATGTTCTTTTCGATTTATATACAGATGAATTTTCTCTATCAAATATCTATGGTATATCATTTGTTAAATTTTAGAGGCCAATATTATATTTTTCTCAATTTTTTAATCATTAACCATGAAGAAAAAATAACAGAGTAAAAAATCATTCGTTTCACCCGTGCGTGGCACGGGTTAGAATATTAGTATATAAAAGAATTTGACTCACAACATACTCTTGCTTTGTTGTGGAAATCATTTTACCATTTCGAATGAGCACTTTTTATTTTCCATTAGATGGTCTGGATGCCTCTTGAAAATAGCCAAAAGATCAATCAATTTAGACAATAAGTCTGAGATGGATGGCATATAATTATGATGTAACACCTCGGCTCAAGGCCATAAGTGTATGCTCATAGCATTGTAGAATGCCCCACAAACTAACATAAGTTTTTCCCACGCACTTAATTATCACTCGTGAGTGCCCAAGGATTTTTTTAGGGGGTCACCCATCCTAGAATTCTCTAAGTCAAGCACACTTAACTTTGAAGTTTCTAAATGATGAGATCTCAAAAAAGAAGATGTAGATTGAAGGTATGAACAGTATTATCTATCTTTTTAAGCATTTTCTTTCCCAAATCCATTTCTTTTTAAACCAGGATATTACATTAAACCCTACTTACAAACCAATATAAGTCTTTCCCGCGCACTTTATCCTCACTCGTGCGCGCCCAAGGAACTTCTCAGGGGGTCACGCATTTTAGAATTGCTCCAAGTCAAGCACGCTTAACTTTGGAGTTTCTAAGTGATGAACTCTCAAAAAGAAGATGCACCTTGTTGGTAAGAGTAGTACTATCTGTAATACCGTAATCCGTCCAAGTCTCCAACCCCTTTCAGACTGAAGTATTAATTTGGTGCATCACAATTTAAAGCATTTAAAACCTTATTTAAAACAACTCTGTAAAATATTTTGGAATAACATTAAAGTAAAATTAGTTCAAACCGTACGAAAGCAATTACAACAGTATGGTTAACCCATAATTCAACATGTGACATTTAATCAAATAGTAAGTTTGTACACATTCACACATCACCTCTATCTTAGTACCCTTCAGGACGAGTACATATGTGTGCGTGTGTGTGTGTGTGTGAAAGAGAGTTACATAGTTGTGGTGATGACACATGTCATGCCACACGTGCATACTACTGACATGTGTCATGCCACATGTAAATCACAAGACACATGTCATTCCACACATGCATATTTAATTTTGTATTAAATCATTATTTTTATTATATTTTATAAACTCTTCACTTTCCAACAATAAAAAAGCCTTATTTTTTTTCTTTTTTATAAATTTTTCACCCTCAAACTATTTTAGAAATATTTTTTTTGTTTGAACATATTTTTAAATACGTGCGACTATTTTATAATATAAACAAATTTATTAATTAAAAAAATGTTGCTTATAATTATTAAAATTATCCATCATCTCAAAAGAAACTATTTTATCTAAATTTTATCACACATCCATCTTTATTAACTTCATAACATATTTTTTTTGAAGACCAATACGTTTTTAAGTCATTCAAAGCGACCCCTCCACACCAATTTGGCTTTTTGTTTGCAGCTCTTGCATGACGAAGCAAACTAGAAAGACGCTTTGATCCCTTGTGTTTCCAATTTTTTTCATGGTGTTAGTACGAATGGGATTCCAACTTTGATCTTTCTCCAAAGAATTGTTGGTAGCCACCTAATCATTACCAAAATAGGGAATAAAGTCTAAACAACTTTATGGGATGTCCAAAAAAGGAAAATATTAAGAATTGTACAAGGAGGGAGTATAAACAAGGAACGAATATAGATATTTGAGCTCTAGTAGCCCGAAATCTTTCTAGTGAGAATGGTGTTAAGAGGGGAGGGGTTGTATTTATAGGTAGAATCAGAGCCTCGAAAGTCAGATCGGATTATCCAAACCAAAGTAAATGATCATTTACTAGTGTCTTAGACGATCATTTACTAGGCTCGGTAAATCTCACATTAATTTCATTAACTCTACACAGCTTTTGTGTATTTGACCCTCTCTATACTTTTTCTTCTGTCTTAGGAACTTTTAGAGAACTTCTCTTGGCGGTTGTGGGCAACTTGGTATGGATCCTTGAATATCTTTAAGTTCTGCAAAACTTTCATTCCTTGGTCGTCTTCTGATTCCAAATGATTTGAGAGAAATGATTTTCAAAATGTTTTTCCTGTGCGCTTTGTGTTTTGTAATGATTGTAAGAAATGAGAATGACTTGTATGGTTTTGTTCGTTTAATTTTTCTACAAATGATTTTATTTATAAATTGGTATAGAAATAAAAAAATATAACCACATATTTAAAACCTACTCTATATATTAAAAATTACAACACATGTGACATGACTATTTTAGTTTATCAAATAATGGATGAAAACGATTACACGAACAATGTTATCAAATGTATGGGATAATAAACAAGCCAATTTCATAGAAAAGTGCAGGTAAACGTTTTAGTGTACTACGAGTAAAATATTTAGATTTTGTTTTCTACTCATTGAACTACTACGCCCGAAACGTTCCTCCCATCTTTTTGTTTGTCAATTTTAAAAATGGCTATGTTCTAGAGCCACTCAAAAAGAGTGGCTACGGAAGCCACTCACCTAATTGAGACACCTACGGTATCCCGGTGAACCTCCCGCCCGGTCCCGATCCCAACTCATCCCCTAACCACGTCAATTGCGGGGTGCAAGTTTAGTTGACTTTGGAATCAAAATTTTTGACTTTAAAGTCAATTATACTTACGGGGTGCAATTGACGTAGGTGAGGGAATGATTTCGGGTCGGGACTTGGGAGGGAGGGGTTTATTGGGAGGGTTAGGGGGGGTAAGAATCATCAATTTTATGAACAGAACTCCGGAGGAGGCCAGTGACTTCCGTGGCCACTAAAATCCAGTGGCCACCGAACCGGGCCGTTTTAAAAAATGATTCATTAACTTTTCATAATAATATTTTTGTTGCTAATTAAATTTTGAGAATGCACATTCATTACGCTTACTAAGAACTGAAAACAAAATTGGAAAGAACAAATCAAAGTCAGGTGGAATACCAAAATGCTAGAATCACAGACAAACACTTCACAAACTTTACAAATATGTCCTTTTTGAATTCTAAATTAAATATATTTTATTATTTGAGTTCACCTTGTTTCTAGTAAAATGTTAAAAGGGTACGTTTGTGAACTTTGTGAATTTTGTGAAAATTTTGTTTGTGACTCTAGCATTACTCGATAGAATAATACCAAATTAAATACTCCGTCTGAAATAACCTTCATCACTGTCTTCCTGGTAGTGTTACAAATTTTATTTCTCGAACAGGGTAGAATTACAATTTATTTCTAAAGAATAGCAAGAAACACAAAATAAGCACACTTCATAGAGGACATGTGTGTGTGAAAGGTCAAAGATGGGATTTCCAAAATCCAGTAGGGCAGTATGCCAGTAATGCTTAGATTTGGGTTGCAAGGATTTTGGTATTAACTTCTGGTTGTCAATGCAAGAACATCAAACTCATCCACCACAAATCGCGAAGAGGAAACTCAAGAAACAAATGAGATGAACTTGGCCTGGTTGTGATGTTCACTTGAAGAAAGTGCACGCGATAAACAAGAAGACATAAGCAACCAAAGATGTTAGGAGTTCAAGTGTCCAGGTTGGTTGTAGCAGAGATGACGGGATAGCAGGAACCAATAACGAACCAGTAAACCAACCAAATACAAGGGCCCCAAATCTGAAATATGGAGTATAAAAAAAATTATGGCATGTTACTTTTTTTTATAGCTGGCAATTTTTTTAAGGGGAAATTTCTTATAACTTCAGAGATTGAAATTCTAGGACTCACCCAATGATGGAAGCCCTAGCTATGTTCTTCGTCTTGTCATTGAGGAAATATATGCAAGCTCCCAAAGACAATGCTACCTGCATTTGGCACATCAGTGGTGTAAACATGGCACATCAATACAACGAAGCAAGGAAACTACCAACGAGGACTGTGTACAACCCATGATGCATCATGGTACCGTGCAAAACTAGCATTTTCAAAGCAAACAATTTCTTAGAATTGAAAGTGAACAATCAATTCAAGTCAAGAAAACATTGCCCAAGTGAAACACCATGGTACAAAATGACGGTAAAGATTCGACTCTCGGCAAGATAACTTGCAGGATGTTTTGCAAATCTAGTGTACTTAAAGCATATTCACCTACAAGAATGTTGCCACTATTATCACACAAAACATACCCCTTCCATCCCAAATTAATCTTTACACTTTCCTTTTCAAGTTGTCCCAAAATAAAGTGAGAAGGATATTAAATCAAAATTCTTATTTATGAGAATTAATAAGAATATTAAATGCATCCTATCATATGCACAAGAACATAAGTTAGACACTCCTATTGTAGTATTATCTTTCTTAGAAAATGAGAAGCAAGTTGCACCCCAAAATTCACAAATTTTCTGTCACCGAAAGTCTATGTTGTGTTAGACTTTATGTGAAACTCATTGAAAGACACGTGAACATACTTAATGTGTTTGTTTTATAAATGACAAACGTAAATGAACTTTCAAGTAGAGTTTTAAGAAAAGTCATGGATGCACAAATTTCATTCAAGAAATTCAAACAAGCGTTAATCAAGGATTCAAGACCGAAGATCGAAGGCATAGGATGTTCGTAGACCTGCACAAACTCGAGTCGGCCTGTCTTGCCCGCCCTTAGAAACGGGGTGATAAACAAAATTATATGAACCCATACAGCCCAAGCCAGGCCACTAGATCATATGGACGGGCTTGGGTTTTATGTTTGTCCCACATCACCACATGAACCAGCAGCCCGTCCAAAATACATGTATAAATATATAAATACAAACACAATACTACCTCCGTCCCAAAATGTTTTACACTTTACAAAAAATGTTTTTGCGTCCTTCGCTCTATCATTTCCGCACTTTACATTATTCTTGTATTTTCTATTCCGTAAAGTGTATCCACATTCACGTACAACACTATTCACCACCCCACGCGTTTAGCATACATTTTAGAAAGTAGCACCGAGACAAGGACGGGTGCTTATACGGGGACAGGTCAGAAGCATGAAAACGCCAATTTTCAAATATTTATAAAGGATTTGGGTGTCGGGACCAGTGACATATAGGGGACAGCAAGGTAGTTAAGATCACGATCTGACTCATACGATCGTGCAAGTATGCAGATTGTTTGTTTTAACCTCAGCTATCTGAATAGCGATGAAGGTTGCTACTATAACAGAATCGACTGGATCTACGTGTAATAGCATAAAATCGCTGGATCACAAGGGATCGACGATTTAATTTAGAAGGATTTTTTTATTTCTAAAAAAAGTTTTTCACATGCTAAATTCTAAACGGTGAGTTACAACCCTTCGGTGTTCACAATCTGACTGGTCCCCCCTTATAAATAAACCTTCACCTACACAAATACACAGAAACTCTTACAAGCCTTTGCGCTGCTAACCTTCGCACGGCTCTTCTAGCATCAGAACCCCCTTCTGCCATTCTCTTCGAATTTGGGTCCATTTCTTTTTTTACCAAGGTATTATTTTAATTTATATTCTACTTTTTTACTGGGCAGTCCTTTTCTATTCTGCCAATGCATGGGCAGTGGTTTTGTTTGCCCATCAGCCTAGTTGTTTTATTGCTCTATTACCTTATATTTTATTAATTATTTTGTTGACAATAGTGTTATGTTTTCTTTAATTAAGACACGTGTGTTCTAATAGTGTGTGTGTGTATACATATATACATATACATATGTGTGTGTGTGTGTGTGCGTGTGTGTGGGTGTGTGTGTGTGTACATATATACATATACATATATGTGTGTGTAGGATCTTATCTTGGGGGACAGGAATTGGCACTTGCGAAAAGTAGAAGTGCATAACACAATAAATACTCGGCTTTGCAGCAGAAAATTTGTACATTAAGGACTGGCGCAAATGAAACAGAAATAGCTTCACAAACCTGGAAAGCAGGACCAGCCTCGGCAGAGTTCATTACACTCCACACTGCCATAAATCCAAACAGGAACAATCGTCTTAAAATAATAGCACCAGGGGGCTTTTCCACAAAACTGAGCAGATTCTTGACCCATGGTGGAGACTCTTCCACTTTCTGTTTTAGCCTTGTCTTCAAGTTAATCTTAGTCCTCTTTCTATTCTTGAAGCTTGACATAAGTATTTTCTCAAAAGCAGCTTCAACGGATTCCATACTCTTCTCATGGCCGGCATATTGATCCAACAAAAAATTGCGAGAGCTCCACACTTCTTCTTCAGAAGCATCACGACTTATACCAAGGCACTTATATGGGTCCCATACATTAGCCCGAGGAAATTTAGAAATGTTGCCTGTAGAATCCACACAGAAAATGTCAATCCTTAAATATGTAATTGAATATCAAGGGAGAATATGAAGGTTTTACTCCAACAAACGGTTGTGCATATTAATTCACGAGTACACATTCAAAAGAAAATCCACAGTTCCCACACTACCTCTTAACCACACAAAATAAGAAGATTTGTTTGTTGAAGTCAAATTTTAAATTTTTCATATACACCCTAAAGATGCATGTGAAGTGGAAAAGGTTATTATAAATATGAAAAACTACAGGGTATACACTAGTCCAGCTAACATATCCTAGAAACATGACTTGCATACCATTTTACTTTCACATTATTAAATTCAATATTATACAAATTTACAATTAATATAAATAGAAGCATAGTCTTAAGAGTTGTAGCAAATGAAAAATGAATTGTCCATAAATTTCATATGGATCTGATATGAATGTGTTGCAAGGGGTATCTCATTCATTAACCCAAAGAGCAAGAAACTGTTCCCAAACTTCAGGATCTAAGGCCACCCTGCCTGGGGAGTAAAGCCAAGTACGGTGCACCGGCATCATCCTATCGATCACCCAACCGCACCCCATGCCTTCTGCTCATTTCACAACAAATCTCAAGGTTCCTCCTCCAATGTTGTATGGCAGAGGATCTCAATCCATTATTTCAACCCAGCAAATTGAAAAACTAGACATAAATCATACATTTCTGCACACTCACAAACTTAAATTCCCTATGTACTTCCAATCCATCATGTCTCCCTTGTTTAGTTATCATTATGAATCTACCAAGTTAATATAGAACTCTTTATTCTTCAAAAACTGAGTGGAAGGAAAAAAAGAGAAATTTTAGGCAATCGATATAAAACAAAACTGTTGAGAAGCACATAAAGAGCTGATACCTTCAAAAGCTGTATCCATTGCACAATTCGGGGCCACGAGACTAAACGACCTAGAAAGAGACCTCTTGGAGAAATTCAACCCAGACAGCCGAGAACTCTTAGAATTCCCTCTATTCCACCTGCGTATTTAGGAAATCCGAATCAGGAACCACGCAATTTCTAACATTTTGAAACAGGTGAAACGGAATGAACTCACAGCTTCTTTCCGAAGAAAACAGAGGAAAGCGTAGGCTTAGATAGCAGAGTTGCCTCCATGAGAGCTTCCGCCTGCGATTTGAGCAGAATTCACCGGTAAAACCCTAGTTTTCGGTCACTGTGCCTCTACTATACACACATCAAGAGAAGCAGAATACTGTGACGGATCTCCCCAAACGATGAGGCTTGGGGTTCCTGCCTTCAGTGTCCGGTACCTACGGAAGAGAGAACGTCAATAACCCTTGTGTTGTGCAAGTTGTGCATAGAGCAAAAAATGAAAGTTTCACACCAAAATTTAATCTTTCTTTTGGCTAAAATATGTTTTTAGTATAATAAGGGCATGTTCTTTAGGATTGGAAAAAAAGAGATGAAAACTGGAAGAAACTGGAAGGAACTGAAAGAAACTGGAAGAAATTGGAAAAAACTGGAAGGAACTGAAAGAACTGGAAGAAACTGGAAGGACTAGAAGAAACTGGAAGAAAATGGAAGAAACTGGAAAAATTGAAAAAAAATTTAAAGAAATTGAAAAAACTAGAATAAATTGTAAAATCTAAAAAAAGTTTTTAAAAAAATTTTATGTGTGGTTTTAAATTATTCTCATTTTGATTCTTGTTGATATAAATTATTATTATTACTATTATTATTATAATTATAATTATTGTTGTTGTTGTTGTTGTTGTTGTTGGTAGTAGTGGTGGTGTTATCACGTTATCTAAATGATTTTCTTTAAAATAAAAAAATATTACGAATATTATTTTTCATACATAAAAAGATAGTTTAAAAAAATAATTAGAATATAAAATTAGCATAAATATCAAAATGTTAAATAGTTAAGAGTTATTATGGCTATGCTGTATTTATTATAAAATAATATATTTGTAATTATAGAGCGAACATTTGGAACTTTGAAGAACACATGGAAAATATTGCACAAAAGGATGCCTCAAATGAAACAGGAGCACCAAATTCAAATTGTTATTGCAACATGCACTTTGCACAATTTCATTCGTCTTCATCGAAAAGGAATACCAATTTCACTGAGACAGCAAACAACTCAAGATAGGCCCAAGGTGATGTTGTTTGATGAACAAACTAAAGATGCAATGAAGAAGTTTAGAGATGAACTAGCACTTAATATCCTACAATGTAGTTAAACTTTTTTTGTTAGTTGTATTTTAATTATTGGTGATGTTATTTGTTAGTTGAATTTCCATTTTACACTTCTTGGATCTTTTTTATTTTTCAAAATGTAGTTTTCTTTATGTTTTCATAATGTAGTACTCCCCACCACATTCCATATTTTATATTTTAGATTAAAATATATATTGATGTTTAACTTATATAAATTTAGATTAAAAAGTATTCTATATAACTATTTAACCATAATTTTTTAAATAGTTTCCTAATTTTTCACGTAGATTAATATACAAAAAAATGGTATTATTCATATTAAAAAGTTGAAGAAAAAAAATAATGAATGTGAATCATAAAAATAGTGAGATGAAAAAATGAAATAATTTATAAACTATAATTATGAACATAAAATTTGTAATTAAAAAAATTGTAATAATAATAATATAAATAATATTATATTTTTAGAGTGATTTGTCAGAAAGTAGAAAGAATTTGAAGAAAATAAATATAGTTGGAAGAAATTAGAAGAAATTGGAAAAAACTGGAAGAAACTGAAAGGAACTGGAAAAAACTAGAAGAACTGGAAGAAACTGGAAGAAACTGGAAAGAACTGGAAGTAACTGGAAAGAACTGTAAGTTAAGAGTTCAAGTCCTAAAGAACAGGCCCTAAATGATTTTTGTTTTGAGTGATGATTGCATAGTCGTAAGGCTCATATTTAAAATGTAGATTTTTTCATATTTTTTATATATTTGGTTGTGGATATTTTCTATTTTTGTAAATATCTTACTTCTTTATTCTACAAATACACTAAGGTGTATGAAATGAGTATAAATCTTAAGTCGACGGAATAATTTCTCTTTTATTTTTTATCCTTGTAAATTGTTTTTGGTTAAGTTATATTTCCAAAATTTTATATTTTGAACATCCTTTTTAAACTTAATTTACACTTCTAGTTTTTGAGATAACACATTCTTTTCGTACTCAACATCCTAATCCTACTTTTCTAATTAGCTCGGATATAATTGCCATATCATAGATTGTCTGCTTCATTGAATTGCAACTCCAATTTCAAAATTTTATTATACTATATTCTTAAAAAACTTTGGGATTGGAGATATAATATGAATAACGATATAGTTAGGAGTTAGGACAAGAGAATTGTTTTGGATGTCTTAGAAACCCAAGACTAAAATATTTAGTATGAAAAAAATTTGCTATCTAAACAAATTAGAAATGCAAAATTAGATGAGAATATTATGAACAGATACCGCCTTGTAATAGAGACAATTGCGTTCAAAATAGAAGGAAAAATTATCTCAAATAATTCCACATTTTTGTGCTCTTTCAAAAATAACCCCGTTATTCACTGTCACCGGTGATTAGTTTTCTTCATATGTGCGAGTTTTGGGTCGTTATTAAAAAACTAACGGTCACGTAACAGAATTTTTAAAAAATGCCTGTTTTTTGCAATTAAATGAAAGGTGAGATTATTTCAAAAAATTGCTGTTGGGTACCACCCCCTATTTTGTACTAAGAACTCGCAGGTCTCATTGTTTTTCAAAATATACTCTTAAATAACTTAAGATATTCGAAAACTAACTCCGGGGTGACAATCCGTCATTCTTTTCGTTAATATTTCTTCTCCTTTATCCTCTTCTTCTTCTTCTTCTTCTTCTTCTTCTTTTCTTCTTCTTCTTCTTTTTCTTCTTTTCTTCTTTTCTTCTTCTTCTTCTTCTCTTGTGAAGTGCGAGTAATAATTATGAAGTAATTATAATAATTAATAACAAATAATAATAATTATAATAGAAGAAGAAGAAAAAACAAAACAAAAGGTAAAAGAAGAAAAAAACGGGGGTGGGGGGGAGGAATGGAGGTCACTGGAAGGCAGGAGAAAGAAGAAGAAGAAGAAGAAGAAGACGAAGAAGAAGAAGAAGAAGAAGAAGAAGA